TTAGGGAGAGTTGTGCTATATTGGTTAGTGAGAGTTGTGTTATATTGGTTAGGGAGAGTTGTGCTATATTGGTTAGGGAGAGTTGTGCTATATTGTTTAGCAGGGATTTTTCAGGGTGCAGCGCCCTCATGCCATGGCCATGCACCCCCTTACCCTGGGGAGCGGATCCTCTGGCAACCATAAAACTCTGATTGACCAGGGATCACATGTGGCCACAGTCGTCAACTGTGACCTGTCTGATAGTAATTTTGGCCCCAAGGAAGCCATAGAAGCCATTTTAACTTAGAATTATGAAAAACTCCACACCCTGGTAGGGAGAACCCTATCTCCCCCACTTGGTGGTGCCGCTGAATTGCAGTGCTCCCTCTTGCAGTTTTTTTTCTAGAAAAACCCCTGGGTTAGGGATAGTTGTGATATATTGGTTAGGGAGAGTTGTTGTGCTATATTGGTTAGGAAGACCCTTTGTACTATATTGGTTAGGAAGACCCTTTGTACTATATTGGTTAGGGAGGATCGTAGCACTATATTTATTGGTTAGGAAAAGTTGTTGCTATATTGTTTATAGAGAGTCTGTTGTTCACGGAATTCATATCTGCGTGACTTACTAGTACACGTATCATGAGTATGTATGTACTTGGTGGGCAAACCTTGAGAGAGCAATGACTCATTCCAAGGCTATATTGAGTCTCACCTCTGTATGTTCTTCTTACATTATAAATTACTGTAGTATAACACTGCCATTTTAACAATAAAATGGGGTCATGTTCCTTCTTTGATAATAATCTAGAATTCCTGCAAAATGGTTTTAATAAATTTTTATAATTATATTTTGTAATTAAAAACATTATTCAAGGTCTGAAAAATAAAAATATCGTAAACAAAACTGTGAAGGTTAGGTGAGATATGGTGATGGGAGGTTAATATGAATATAAATAAACAGTGAAAATAACAATATTGAATAAACAGCAAAATTTAATATTTTCTTTTTACATAATTATTTATATGATACAAAGACTGGGATTTGTTGGAAAGCCTGGTATTTATAAAGAAATAATTTTAAATTTAATAAACGAGTAATTGTGTTATTTGTCATTGTTTTATACAATTTAATGCTCAAGAAAGTGATCAAGCTCCATAGAAGTAAACAGATTGATACTTTTACATACAGGGAAAAATACGTTAAATTCTTTCAACAATAATTGAAATTTCCACATTCAGGAATTTGTTCAACCCATCACAATGTTGCAGAAAGTGAATGATACCGCAACAAAAGAGTCTTATCTCAACATGTTATAAAACAGTCTCTTTTTTTTTTATCGTATTCTGTGAATTCTGGCTTTCCGCCCACACACATCATTAACCTACAAAAAACGTGTTCAGTCTCGGCTGTCGCTACTTTATTCTGCATCACCTAATTTACATACCCATTCAATTCGTAATATCACTCAACACTCGGGGTAAATTTACAGTATTCTGACCTACATATTACAACTTTATTCTTGTCTTTTTAGATATTTAATTGAACAGCCTTACTTTTTGTTACAAAAAATATCTTGTTTATAAATTTTTTTTTTTTTTAAATATTAATATTAAATATAATATTACATTTTTTTAATGTTATGATTCAGGTTTGGATTTGCACCTTCTCTTATGGTATATAATGTATTCTCATGCTATGTATTATGCATCAGTATACTAATAAAATATAACGTACATTTCATGGAATAAAATTGTTTTTATAAAATATCATATTTCAGTACAAATGCGATGCCTGTCACAGCATTCAGTCGTTTGCATACCATGTGTCAGTTTAACCAAACTCACCATTTTATGCTAACCCACCACTTCCCTTAGACTCCCTAGTATACCCATTTTAATGTCAACAAAAAGTATGAAGAATGAGGCCATTTTGAAATAAAATTGTGTGATTCACAGCGTAGATTGATTCATATGTGTAAACATTCATTTAAGCAGGTGTGTAGCCTGAGTTTACATGGAAAGTACATCAACACACACTGTTTTAATGCTCAATTGACTTCATATAATGACTGAATCAAAATGCTGGTTTATTCTACATCCTGTGTGGTGTCAACCAAGATTCATTTCATTTATTAGTTAAGTAATCCTATTTGAATATGTCACCATTGGTTAGCTGTGGTACCCATAAAAACTCCAAAATGTCAACCACATTTAAATAAACAGGACGGTTAAGTTTTCAGAATACAAAATTATGCTCTGGTCAAATTTTCTTAGAAGTCAGTGATTACAAAAATGTTTGACATTTGTTGTCAGAAATTAAACATTTCTGTCGAACACATCACTTGTGTTACTTCATGGCCAAAAAAAAAAAAAAAAAAAAAAAAACAGATTATAATTGCATTAGCACTATAGAAAACTTTATTGCATAATTAGGTAAATACATTTAATTTGTTATCATCATGGAATCTGCCAAATAATTTTATGGTCTAATTTTTAGATGGTTTGAAGACAGGGACTTATAGATGTCATCTGTGCATGCTTCCTCAAATGCATGTCTATTCATTTCACGATCTGATTCAAAATGGCCAAATGGCAGCCATATACATGTACATGGTAAAAACCTGGTAAATACAAAAGTACAATGCACATAATGAAACCTTGATTCACGTCATTTTGTTTTCTCAGATTGTATTCAAAATGGCTGACTGACAGACATTTTAAACGTTGCTCAAGAGCCAAGTTGCTCTAGACTGATTGCAATCAAACTTTAAGACTGCAGTGTTCATCTAGTCGCACATATTTGCACTAAGTATGGTCAATCAACTTGGAGGTTAATTGTAGTACTTAGTTTAAATTTTGTATTTGTCAGCTTTGCATATACATGTGGGAGTGGTGGGATGGGAGTACCTGGATGAATGGGGTGGAGTCTACTGTGTCATGTTATGTCACTCATGTCATAACTCAACTCCTACTTATTAGTTTAATCAACCGAATATCAGCTGTGTTGTCTGACACACAAAAACAAAAATCATAAATTAATTAATATTTCAATTTTTACAGAAATATAACTGTACTGGCTCAATCAATAGTGCATGTACATGTACCAATGATAGAGGTGTATCTGAGGTTATACTTTAGGTGAACTTTAATAATACAGCATGTGTGCTTCTATTGGTGGTGTATGCATGTTTTGAACAATACGTAGAAGTAAAACAACTGCATGTATTACCAGTACTGTAAAATGACCAATTTTCACTGGGTTTAAATTTCGCTGATTTACCGAGCATATTCAGTGGGTTTCAAATTCATGGTTTTATCATTTACATAATGTGTTTTATGCTCAATTTTACATATTCACTGGGTTTTAATTTAGCGCATTTTCCAGACAGCGAAATAAACAAAATTAAAACCTAGTGAATAATTAACTCTTTTATGTAGTAAGTCATGGATTAGGGTTGTAGTTGGTGCCTTCTATCGTAACTCATAACATTTTGATTTTGGAAGTCCCTGAAAAATGCTGAATCATCATTTCTGTGCTTCTCATTGTCATAATCTATTCTGTATTCTGGGCCAATTATGTAATTCACTTCTTGCACAATTTTTCATGATTTTAGCCCTATTGTCTGATTAAATGTTGGTGACTTTTTTATTTTAAATTTGTTAAATTCAAAAATTGTTTTCTTCTTCAAAGAAAACAATCCAATTACCGGTAGTCACTTCTATGAATTGCAAAGCATGTCTTGAAGTTTACGAATCCAAATTACGTCATCACACCCTCACACTTGTTTCATTTGTTATATAAAAATAGCCTGCATCATATGGAATGGTTCCATAAAGAGGGCAGCCTGCAGCAATTGGTAGAGAATGACTACCCATTGTAATCACACCCTACACTTGTCTAGAAAATGAAGTAACATTTTTGTTATATATTTTCTAATCTGACATTCTTCTTGTTGTATTCTGAGTTTCAAAGTGCACTGAAGTTTTGAATTTCAACAATGTACTGTATTTGCTTTCTTAGTAGCTCGCATGCTAATATAAATTACTGAGGTTTGTCTGTCGGCAAAATTAGTCACATTTTAATTCTTTACAGAATTCATCTGTATTCTAAACCATTGATGAATGACCCCCTAGGTCTTAAGAATTCACCAATATTCTGCACCATTGAAGTACCCTCTAAGTCTTTAAAAAAAATCGCCATTGAGAAAGCACCCCCTAAGTCTTTAAAAAATCATCAGTATTTAAAGAATGCATTGTGCACATTGCAGCAATAATTCTAGGGTTGTAATACTGTTCATGAAACATGACCAAGCAGATTGCTTACAGAGAATTATAAGTTGACAATGGCTTTGACATTTCTTATCAGATTAATTGTGACCAACCATGACCCATTCTGTTCAATATCACTCACGCTATTGCATTTCTATTTTTTTCAATAATAATAATAAATCCTTGATTGTACTAAGGTCCTTGAGGTCAGAAAATAGAATAACAAAATGATACAAAATATTACTGTAAAATGTGTGTGACAGCTTTATGACCTTTGACCTCTGGCATAATTAGCATACTGAAAGTACTTCTTTGCATCCCTGTCAGCCTGTGACCAAGAGTTGTTAAATTGAAATTCCATTTCTGGCTTGAGTTGACTTTTTGTAATTGATAAAAAAAAAAAAGTCTCATATTATTTCCTATACAAATGTATGTACATGTACTGCGTAAATCTAAGTGTGGTATTACAGAAACAAATTCTCACAACATGTTTTCAGTTGTGACTATCATATGCCATAGCATGCTTTGTATCAGACGTACCACGGATATGATGTTTGCAATCTTCCATGCGTTCCAAGATCCTGCCTTACTTTGACGTCATTGATACCAAAAAAAAAAAAAAAAAAAAAACTCAAACATTTAAAATATATTTTAGAATAATTTCATTTGCAAATCAGTACATACCGGTACTCCCACTTGGATCATTAACAGTAACATGTTGGTAATCAGGCACTGTCTATTCTATTTTACAGACCCAGCCAGATCAAAGCGTGACATTCCAAAATCTCCCGATCCAAGGGTAAGACGAGGAAAGATGAATTCCCATCAGGGTCAGGCGGAAGACAACGCTGATTTATTTGAACAGCAGAAAATGTCAATGATGCTTCAAACCCTGTCAAAAAGTCGAAAGGTCAGTAAAATGGCACAGACTAAGGTCAGTGGACGTCCAGATATACGATCTGAGGACAGTCTGGATACTGACAGTACGATAACATCAGAACAAAGTATTGACGAGGAAGACTGTCGGTATGCTCTGAAGAAATCATCTATTGGACGACCGCTTGAAATTGATTTGACTGGGTTCTTGAAGTATCGGAGAGACTCTGCCTCAAGATCAAAAGGTGATGTTCTTGCTTTGTCAGGAATATTATTTTTGCGAATTCATGGTGGTCGGAAACTTGCAACATTGCGGAACCAAACCAGAGAAATGTACGGCGTTGTGGAGGTGGATTCGGAAGCCAAGGCCAGGACTTGTAGTATCTATGCCAAAGACGAATTCACATGGGATGAAAATTTTGAGATTGAACTTGAGAATTCACAGGAACTGAATTTAATGATATACAGCTGCGAAGGCGATACCAAACACAAACTTTGTTACAAGGGACTTGTGCGGCTTGTGTCGCTATTCAGGGAAAATAAAAATGTTCTCCATCAGCTTGCCTTGAAACTTGAGCCTCGTGGAATTCTTTACACTTCTTTGTCTTTCACGGAGAGTACAGTCTCTCTGAAACGGACACCTTCCATGAACCGCAGTGGTGTCTTTGGTGTAACCTTAGAGAGTGTTGTCAGGCGAGAACGATCAGGAACAAATGTTCCGTTAATAGTGCAAAAGTGTGTGCGAGAAATCGAAGATAGGGGCCTTGATTTGATTGGTGTCTACAGAGTATGTGGGTCTGCCAAGAGGAAAAAGAGTTTGAAATGCGAGTTTGATCAGAATAGTGCAAGTGTCAACATATCAGCTGAAATCTGTCCTGATATTAACGTGATTACAGGTGAGTTTTATTCACACATTATTTAACTTTTTGAACAACAAAGTAAAAAGTTTTCTTCTTTCATAACATAACCTATATCTTTCAAAATTGTTGATCAAGACATCTTGTCAACTATGTGTTTAAAATTAAACCGAAAAGTACTTGTTTTGGTGGAAAAATATATGACATTCAAAAACTTCTCATCTCTGCATCTGTTAATAGTCTATAGTTATTTGGTAGTAGCTAGAAAACAAAGGCAGATAAAAACCAAAACAAAAAACAAGATGTGATTGTTTAGCCTACAGCAGTACAAAAGTTTCTGACAAGTAGTCAGTCAGTAGAGCGTCTTCTTCAAAACAAAGTTGATAATATATGGAAGTCAATCCATGGACCCTACATACTAAGTATCAAAGCAATTAAGCAGGCTTTGAAAAGTTGAAAATAACATTTTTACCCAAAAATGACAAAAATATTCTTACTTCTTGTTAGGATTTTGCATTGATCCACTAAATTTGCGTTTTTACATGCAGTACAAAACACTGTGAACTCATTAATTATTTGCTGGCTTTTAATTTTGCTCTTTTCGCTGATAAGTCAAATTCACTTTTTTCAAAGACAAATTTGATAAAATTGTGTTGGCATTGAAGGAGTACTGGTAATAGGCAATATTGAAGATCACCAAGGCGAATTCCCTCATGTAACATTATAATAGAACTCATTTTTTTTACCGAAAAACAGAAGAATGTACACAAAACTTCTAAACAGTTACAGCAAATACTAATGTTTGCCTTGATAGTAAATACTAAGAGCGGATTGGTTTAGTGATCAACCAATCACATAGGTTCACTGATTACAACTGAAATTGTTATAATTTCATGTTCTTTTTATGCACTTGAAAACTTGTATCAGAATTCCACACATATGCTGTAGTGGGACAGTCATCTCTGTATAATTTTACTGGCCTTAGTGATAACATTGCCTCAGTGACATCACAATTCTCTCAGTGCATACTAATATAGTCATGTTGTCTTCATCTTGTGCATTAACTCATTGCTTTGGGGAATGACTCCATAACGAAGTGTAAAGGATCTTGGAGACCTTGTCATGTTCTGAGACTCAAATCACGTTCCAATGAAATGCAAAATAATACCCAACAAATAATACGTTTTTTTATTTATCAGTACTCTAACCAACCTGAGTTGTCATTGGTGTGACATGATTTTTCCGGATATATAAATTCAGATCTGTTAAGAAATCAAACACTATATTCACTGATAGTTTCATTGCAATGTTTATTTTGTCAAGATTCAAGGACAGATTGTATGATTTTAGAGTAATGGTTACTCATCACACTAGTATGCCCACGTAATTTTACAGAGGATGTGACTCCTGCTTTGTCGTACTGTTTGTGATACAAGTACATTTTAGTTCATTGCACTTTGTGATTTGAAGAGCTGTTTTTAGCCGCTGGGTTGATGACTTCACAATACATAATTTCTTGTCTGTGAATATCCTCACATCTTTAGCTGTTTTGAAGTACACTGTAAAGACTCTTATATGTACTGTAATGTCATGTAATGTTTTCATGTCTGGACTGTAGTTTTGTAAATTATACTATCTTTTGGTCATTATGAAAATCATTACCAAAATTATGCTGGCATTTATTATAACTACACATAATGGAACTTGTATTAAATTATCTCGACAATATAAATTTTGCGATGGAATATCCTGATTAATATCTTCATTGAAATTAATAGATATTTTCCATAATTTGCCATGTTCAAGCTATATCAATAATTAATATCGTAAATGTAATTGGCAGATTTCTCTCCTCACATTGACAGATGTATCAGCCAGCCCATGACAATACCAATATAAATCTAGATTATCCCACACCATTACATGACAACAATATTGATATTATTGTTGATCAGCCCACATCATTACCTGATGACAATGAGAGTGATTCATCATGAGTGTCATTCACACGCTGTTTGTTAAATCACTCTAGACCCAAGCTCCAGACTGTTCCTGATCTAGCAAATAACTTACCCAAGTTTTTCTGTGAGAATTCGTCAAAGTTAAATCTATTTGCATCTGTTTCAAGGGAAAAATTCACCAGCATTCAGAATTGTTTGAATTACTGCAGCCCATGATAAGAAACTGGCCTTGAATCCACACTCATCACAACACTGTTAACATTTGGACACACTGAATACATATGAAATTTGTTTCATTACATTTTTACCACAATTCACACCAATTCAGATCATCAAATGTGTTACATAATACTCTCAAAAATTTAATCCATATGAGAGTTGTCAGTTAAATTTTTTACGAATCTTTATTTGTTCTTAAATGCCATCGGCCCATTGTGAAATGGGTTGTCAGTTTAAAGACCACAATGGACGACGATGTTTACAATGTTATTTTATTTATTTCAGGTTGTTTAAAAGATTACCTTAGAGAACTACCAGAGCCATTGTTCACTAATTCCCTGTGTCAGAAACTAATGGAAATACTGATGGCTCCAGAAGCCGACCCTAAAGCCAGTGCCGAACTAGTGCTTAAATTGATGTCTGATCTACCACAAGCCAATCAGGTAGCGTTACCATCTGTTCTTTGCTTAAGTTGGTGTCATCATTGTACTTTCTAGATTGTCATCTATTTTACTAGTACATTTGATTTGGGGTTTACAGTTAACGCTTTCTAGAATCCATCATCATGCATATGATGTATTCATTTGCCTCCATATTTGACAATTGTGAATGATTCTAATTTGCATATAATAATCAGCATTTCCATATATGGTAATAGTAAAATTAGACTAATTTTCATATAATAATCAGCATTTTTATATGTGGTGATTGTAAAATGGAACTAATTTGCATATAACAATCAGCATTTCCATATACGGTAATTGTAAAAAGAGACTAATTTGCATATGATAATCAGTATTACCATATATGGTAATTGCAAAATGAGACATTTTTTTGCACAGTATTCCATGATTACATATATTGCTGTGCTTAGATTTGATAATCTAATGTATGTGGTTCGTGAAAAAATAGATCTTCACAATAAGTTGAAAAGAACAGGTAAAATAATCTTGTGATTTTATGATATATTTTTTCAGGACACTTTAGAATTTCTCCTAGATCATCTGAAACTGATTGCTGCACATGCTGGTAACAATAAGATGAATACCTTCAACCTGGCTGTTTGCTTTGGTCCTGTGTTGATGTCACCAACACCTACTAGCGAGAGAGACTATGTTGCCGCTATAGACTTTGAAAAGCATATTGAAGTGCTCCAACACTTACTCGATATCTGGCCAGAGGAGGATGGTAAGATGTACTTTATTGACCCCATATGAAACTACAACTCTGTCAAGAGTCATACCTTACTTCTTTCAATGTGTAAATAAGCTGTATTTTAGCTTTTTCTTGCACTGCACACGAGAATTTGCAAGCACACAATGGGAGTCTGTGCAGTTAGTGCGTCTGTATGTATTTCTGTGTGTGTGTCTGTGTCTGTCTCACTAACCACATGTTGGTTTTTGATGAAACTTGATGCATAGATGCTCTGGGCTAATGAACAGATTTGATTAGGTTTTGGTTTAGATCCTTGCATATTAATTACCTAATTTGCATGATAAATTAATAATTTGCATGTTTCTTGACTGTTCCGCTGATACCTGAAGAACCACTCATTGGATTTTGATGAAACTTGGTTCATAGATGCTCTGGGGTAATCCACAGACGTGATTATTTCAATGTTGAAAAACATGCATATTGATTATCTGATTAATATTAGACATTTTCTGATATCTCGAAAAATCAGATTTAAATTGCACTTGTGGTAGATGTGCAATGAAATAAATTAGACTGAAAAACACAGATCTTAAAACAAATTTATTTTCTGTGAGAATTATAAAATTTTGGAGCACATTGTTTTTATATTGTGCATCTCCAGTAGCAGACAAATATGACTGGTAATTGCCAAGCTTTCTGTTTGAAAGGCTAATCTGAAATTTTGAATTAATTTTCAATATGCCTCCAATACAATCAGCACACAGGAGTTTTTTTTATAAGCTTTCTTTGATTTATCATGGATCACATGAAGAGCTAAATCATACATTGTACATGTACTAGTGGCTCTTACCTCTTCATACAAGCAATCATACCTCAAATTTGATGTTTGGTGAAAATGACATTTTATCAACAAATTTCATATTTTATCTTTATGCAATCTGTTTTGATCATTACGAAATAGCAACATGCTGATCATGTCAATTCTATTCCACCCTAGTGGCTTTGTTTTCGTTACACAAAGCCCTCTTTATGAAATACATGTACATGTGGATATGTTCATAATACCGCTGGCACACCCCTTTTATCAAACAGTCTGGGCTGCCACTTGCCTTTATAATGGCAAATTATATTTACAATTGGGTACAAAAAAATTGTGTGATTTAACCACCAATGGCCCAACCTTCTGGCAAAATGGTCATTGACTCCCGTGTGTGAAGCATACAATGGGAGTCTTTGCAGTTAGCATGTCTGTATTTCTGTGTGTGTGTCAGTCTTTTACACTGATATCTCAAGAACCATATGTTGGTATTTTTATGAAACTTGAAGCATAGGTGTTCTGGGCTAATATACAGATTTGATTAGGTTTTGGTTAAATCCATGCATATTAATTACCTAATTTGCATGATAGGTAATTGGCCAATTTTCGGCTTTTCAACGTGTATTTCAAGTACTAATCACATTTCAATGCAACTTGGTACATAGATGTCAGGGCAATGCACAGACCTGACTGGTTTTAGGTGAATAATATTTGCATATTAATTACCCAATTTGCTTAATTGATCAATTTTCAGCTATTTATCTTATTTTTAATGAATCTTGGTATACTCTGAGACAATGCGATGATAGAATTATTTTTTTAGTTTATATACATCCGTAGTAACTGATTAATTTGCATAATAATTCATTTGGTTCATCCACAGACATGACAAGTTTTATGTTGAAAAACATACATATGCATTATCCAATTATTATTAGCCCATTTCTGATATCTCAGAAAATGAGATTTAAATTGAATTTGTCACAGAGGTGCTCTGGAATTAATTAGACTGAAAACCATATAAAATCTAATGTATGTTCTGCAAGTATTATAAATAATGTGAATCACATTGTTTTCATGTTGTGCATCTCAAATAGCACACAAATATTAGTTGCCAAGCTTCTTGTTTGAAAGGCTGATCTTAAATTCATTTTAATATGTCTCTAATACTCTCAGCAATACTCCCATGGAGTTGAGTTCTTTCTAAGCTTTATTTGATTTAATTTGTCATCAGCTTCAAAACTGTAAATTAAACATCACTAAACACCTTGTTTATATCTGGTGTGCTAATACAACACCATTTTTAAAACGATTCCTCAATGTGAGATTCCTAATTTTGTTCCCATCTTGTTTCAGAACGTGTCGCCATCAAAATGCGACTCACAGAAAAATCGGTGAAGAACAAGAATGATAGCCAGGAGGATGATAGCTGTTACCATAGTATTGATGACTTGGATGATGCTCCGACAACTGCTAAGGCTGAAGAACATTGGGATTCAGAAAATCTTGAGGTCTCGGCATGTTAGCATCTCAGCCTAGCAACCAGCTATGTGGATACAGTATGCAAGAAACATGGGGGTGACCTGAAGGCAGTTGCATGATCAGAAAGCTGCTTTGGTGATCGTAACCATGGTAGCAGTTTTCTAGAGATCATACAGTCCCACCATAAGGGTTTTATAAGTTGTATAACGCCAAGCACGCAAGAGTGTCACAAAAAACGCTGTACAATTCTTTTTAACCCAAATTTCTGAACTTGAAATGGAATGCTCAGTTATTTGGGCATTATATGATTTATGATTAGAAGAATGTGTGAGACAATTATTTCACAGCTTTGCTGCGGAATCCTAGTTGTATACAAATCATCAAGAATGAAATGTGAAGGGCATCCTTTAGCACCTGCTTTAATAAGGTTGAGTAAAGGGAGCCCTCTATGTCAATTAATGTTAACTTAATGTTCTCTGTAAAAAAAAAAAAATATGTTTCTTTGAAAAGAACAAAAGATACTTACTATTAAATTGAAATATATGTAGCGTCCTCATTGTACTGTAATTGTTGAGAACCTGAAGACCATCTTGTACAAACTGTACCAGTTGGTTTGCATTTGTTATGTGCTTATGAGACGTGGTGCATTAGAAATTTGTAAATAATGACTTTTCAAACGAATTATTGTGTATTTAAAAATATTGTGAGAGAAGAAAATCTGTAAATAATGAATGTTTTTCACTGGGACGCCAAATTATATTTGGTGAGTGTTCACTTGCAACTGGTTTAGACTGTTCTGGCTAGAGGGGGCTATATGTAAGATTTATTCACTATGGTGAACAAAAACGTGTATTGCCTCCTCCCCGCTGTTCATCGTCAACACCTGTTACCAGTCAAAACCAAAATATTTACCTCAAGCTCAGTGATAAATGTTTGTCGAAATGCACAACTTTTACTCTTAGTCGGTGCCAACATTTGTTTGGTTTATTTCTTTAATACAATTAATTTACATATTGGATTGCTATCTGCATATATTTGCTTCCAGAGTTGTATCTTTCATTGTACAGCCAATTTTATTGATTTTTACATAGTTTTTTTGCATTGTTGTAAAATATTGAATGCCTTTTATGGAATATTTGTGCTTTGTAGTAAATGTAAACTTTGTACAATAGTGTGTTGTACAGTAGACGTGTTCAGCCGATTTTGGAACAAAACGTCGTCCCATGAAAGTAAACTTTTAACTACGCCCTCATTTTATGTTAGTACATTGAAGATGTATAAATTTCAATGCAAGTCCTTAACATACGAGGAAATTCATAGTGAATCAGTTCCCCATTGTATTATTTGTAACCTTTGACCTATGTGCTGTATACTATAACGGAATATTCGGGTCAGCAATAGTTTTTCAAATAGCCAAGCATTTCTGTAAATTCTACATCTTACAATGTCATCCATTGAAATTCTGGCAGATGTGGCATTCCCTATAGAAATTGCCTGCCATGAACCTCGCCTCTTATGTTTTGCTGTGCCTTTAGGCTCTTCTAAATTTACACAGCATTAAAATGTTTTAATTTCCAGGTTTGTGTTAAGTACGATTCGAAGCCGAGTTACATGATGGAATTTTAGCTTGGATAACTTGTGAATGCTGTCACGGCTGATTTTGGTCACTCGACAATGTACACCCCTTTAGGTTCTATTCTAAATTTAAAGAATACCTATTTTACTCATATTCCCACTAAAATTGTAAAGCACAACCAGATTTTGTCATAGAACAATTATTTATGACTTCATGGTATTTGTGTTAAAGACTTCTAGATAATGCAAACTGAACATTTGCATACTAGTGGCGGTGTAATGTTAACTGCACATCAAACTATCCCCGGCAGCATCTACACTGTCCGCTGTGTACACCTTGTACCCATGCATGCATGAAGTATTAAAAAAAAAAAAAATTTCTAAAGTTATTGATATAAAAATCAAGCTTTTTTTAACGATGTCGTTTTATTTATAAATTGAACACAAGGTAAATGTACGTGTATACAAGATTATTTTCCACCTTGTACAGTAGTACAAAGACACATTTATGTATTAAATACATACGTTGCATGGAATACATTGTTTTGAAGCCAAGTATCGGAACAGCACCAACCAATGTATTTTGCTATTCCCAGCCATAGTGAACTTTTAAAGTGATAAAATAATTTTGTGCAATATTCATTTTTTATTTTAAAAAGTCATTGTGTATGTAGTTGCTTGTTATGTATACTGTGAAGATTCGGGAGCGAGAGAACAAATTGTCATACTTAAAATGTACCAAAGAAATGTAAAGCTGTGCTTCGTACTGTGTAGTGTTCAACTTTTCACCGTTTAGTATTGCCACTGTTAATTAAAAAGATGTGATCGTGTAAAAGTAGTTTCTTGATGTGTGTGGATTGAATGTGCACAGTTGCTGTTACTCGAGGGAATTAAATCGGTTGAAAAGGCAACAGATAAAATGACATGCCTGTATTTCTGTTGCAAAATACCTAATTTGTGTTGGTGAGTGTATGCTTTTTAATCATTGCCAGTCATGTTTTATGTGGTTCTTTCCAAAAATGTGCATTACAGTCATAAATATTTTGTGTTATACTGAAAACATCTATTGAAGGAGACTGCAGGAGAGTAGGTTTGAACCCAGTGCTTATGTCATATATGGATATGGATCTGGAACTTTATTCTTTAAAATGGCTGCCAGTTGGCCATTTTGAACTCAATTTGAAAAAATAAAATGACCTGCGTCCCATTATGTTCAATGCATGTACTAAGATTAAACCAAATTCGACCACCCATGACTGTGATACTGTTTTTAGAATGGTGAAAATGTGCGATTTTGATACATTTTTGGTCCTAAAATGGCTGCCATTCAGCCATCATGAGTCGGATCATAAAACAAATACATGTGCGTACATCCGATATAATGTCTAATAATGTATGTGTGAACTGGATCGGTCCAAGCATGCACGCACATAAGTGAACAGCAGATAATAATAGTATTTTTTCTCCTATTCCAGCTTTGCTATGCTGCGAAAAGTGTGGTCAGAGTAAATAAAAACAACTGAATGTAAATTCACAAGGTTTTGTGTGTGTGGCCATTTACAATCTGCATAACTAGGTCACATGAACGCATGATAGTACTAATACCTCAAGTACTATATCAGTAAATGCATATGTAAATGAAAGGTGTGTTTACGGTCAAAATATACTTCATTACAAAACCACACCTCTGTTGTAAAAAATATACAAGGTCCAGGTAATATAAACGCATTACACCAATAAAAACAATCTGTTATTTCCGCTGCTGAAGAGATAAGATGAACTCGTCACATCTTTCTATCAACTGTGCATCCGATACACTTCTACTTCCCAACGATCGCATTTTTTCCATCAAGCAGCTCCTGAGCTCAGACACAATAGTGTGCATAGATTTGATTTTATTGGATGACAAATGTTGCATATTTGCTGCATTTCCAGACAGTGATGAGAAAATTTCAGTCAAATCCATGAATCTACTTAGTTTCTCAGCTATACTGCTGCATGGGAATGCCTGTAATGTAATATAAAAACTTAATGTAGAAGATATTTGGACATACCGGTAAATGAAACTAGACTTGCTTGCAGTCTGTTGCGATTCCGATGAAAAATTTATGAAAAATAAATATAAATCGCGTTAACGAGGGATAATCGCAAAGTCATGTGACTGTGAAATCCAAACAGACTTGCCATCAGTGTAAGCGCCCTTACATTACCCTCCAGATTTGGGGTTATAAATTTGCATATACGTCATACGGTGGGTGGAGCAACCGAGCCACGGATCATAACAATAAACCGGACATCGCACATGCCTGTGTTTACTTGTCTCGCGCTATGTTTCCATGTTGTTGATGCCAACAAAATTGAGTGAAACAAATATCGATTCTCCGAGAAGGCAAGGGTTCGGGATCTATGTTTATCTAAGAAAGTGTGTATGGTTTACGAGTCTCAGTTGATACATTAATTAGCCTGTCTTCGATTGGTTGAAACATATTAGACATGTCAATCATTACAAGCCCGAATCTGGCCGGTAATGTGAGGGCGCTTTCACTGATGGCAAGTCTGTTGGGATTTCGCAGTCACATAACTTTTGCATTCATCCCGCGTTAACGCAATTTATAAATTATTTTTCAAGAATTTTTTATTGGAATCACAACAGACTGCAAGCAAGTCTAAGATAAAACTTGTGCATGTCATCACATATCTTGGCTCATCGTTATTTTAGAATTTGTGCATTAAAACCAGATTTGTAATCATTCAAATTGAAAACTTGGTATTCTAAGTTTGTGCCATTTGTGTTATTTTCACATGGTTTTTCATTTTTCTTGTGAACGGCAAGTAACATGCAGGTTTCTTAAGTTTCCGTGGTTCTCAGATCCCTTTGTGAACAGCAAGAATCACCAAGGTAACTAGTAATTGCTATGTTAGCCAAAAAGATAACCTTTGGCACATGACTAAGTGATGTTATTTGAGAACATTTCAATTTCTGTTGTATATAAGTCAGTCTGCAATAATGTCCCGTACATTCATTAAGTCTGCCTGCTTAGATTTCAGGAGGTTCAGCATCTCGGACTATTTTTTTTTTAGATAATGAAAACACGTTTTATGTTCACTGAAACCCTTGAAAACATGGAACATCTCTGTGAGAAGAATGCATGAAAAAAGACAAAATGTAGCATTTTGAAGAGAAAGATTATAGCACTCAAAGTCGAATACACAAATTAAGATATATTCAATTTGCGAAGAAAAAATGTTAATGTGAGTGACACAAATACAGCTTTATTTTTTAGTCAGATTTTAGAAACGAGTGATCTCGTAGTTTAAATAGCTCTGCTGTCTTTGTTGATTGTCTTCTCCAAAACAAAGTTGATAAATGTTCTGTACCATGAGATTTTAATGCTTTTTTATAGTTAGGCCACACCGACTTAATTTTATGGATGACATCCGCGCGCGCATTAGTTTTCGCCTGTTCTCAAAAAAAATAAAAAAATCTCCGACGACGAGTCTCCACAGATTGGTTTTCTGTCCAGAACTTGCCGACTCATATTGTCGCAAAGCACCGGCTTGTCGTAAAAAACGTTTGGACTACTTCAAAACGTGCCAATTTTGTCGTAAATAATCTTCTGCACATGCGTATTGCGTTGCCGGGAATTCCAACATGGCGACCACGCCACCAAAATAGGTGAGCATAAAAGTTCAGAGGAAAAATAGAGGGATTGTTGTAGACTGGTACGCAATTGACGTCGGCCAGGAAGATGTGACGTTTACACAGCTATACAAGAGATTGGTAGCGGCAAGCGAGTTTCGCCCAGACAACTTTAAGGACATATTATCCAGAGTGGCTGTCCTGCGTTTCTTCTGCAATGATGAGAGAAATGGGAGAGGAGTGGAGGTGTATGGTGGCCTAAAAGTCGGTCAGGCGACAAGTCAGTTTGATTGTTTTGTCTGCAATGAAGTCGACAAAACTGCAAGGAAAGCAGAGGAAGCTTCCCGGTCTAAGTCCGCTTTTGAGATGAAGAAAAGTTTCTTATTATTTTTTTTTCCCCATTTTCTGATTTGGACAATTTGCTTGCACACACAGTGAGTAATATTTTGATCAGATGACAAATTTTCATCAAGATACATGTACATAATTTTCTGCATCCAAATTTTTGTTGGTGTTTTTTTTCAATACCGAGCCTCTTATAATTTGTTACATAGTGGAAGTAGTTCTAGAGCATTTGTGTCTATCTGAAGTGTCATTTTAAAAGCTGTAGTTTGAATGTCAAAGAAGTTAATTTCCAGGTTGCTGTTGACAAACTTATTGTTCATTTTTAACACAGTAAGTTTTTCTTTATTTAATATTTATTTATTTCTTGTTGTTTTTATGATACACTTGGTTCTGTAGTTCAATTCTTAATTTTTATACCAGCTCCGTAGTTCTGTGGTTTTAGCAGCATTTTTTTTTTTGGCAGGTTTTTTTTTTTTTCGCCCTCTCGCATTAGATATGGGGTCTCCAGAGGATGTCATCCATAAAATTAAATCAGTGTGGCCTTATTACGGTATTAGTGTTTTCACAATTTAGTTGGTTGTCATGGCAATTACAATTGTTATCATCTTGTTAAGGTCATCAAGAAGGTCAACCAATGGTACCTTACATACAAGGTATCTGGTAGTTTTCAAGAAGAAGTTGAAAATAAATTTTATCACCAAAAATGTAAGATATCGTCCAAAACTAACAAATCTGACAGAGGTCCACAGAGTTTTTCAAGAAGAAGTCGAAAATAGCATTTTTAACAAAAAATGTTTGCTAAAAATTGAGAATTGAAGACATCATCATGAACGGAACAAATCTGACTAAGGTCTACCCAAAGTACCAATATGGTATCAAAACAATTGAGCATGTAGTTTTCGAGAAGAAGTTGAAAATATAATTGTTGACAGATAACACACGACCACCTATATGAAGAGCTCTTTTCTGTCATCATCAATGACATCTGAGCTATAGAAAGAATTTATTTTTCAGGTAGCATCAAAGAGAAAGTACAATTTTCATCATAATTTTGAAATAAGTGTAAAGCTGGGAAACAAAGCGAACAGAAAATACTTTTTCCTGTGCCTGATTCAAACTCACAGATGAAGTCATTACGTTGTACTCACCAGGTCAATGATTTCCATGGCAATGAGATGTCCACCTACAGACTTGAGAAAAAACAGCACCAGTAACGACTGCATAATGCTGGTCATGTGACCCATCAGCTTCACCTGATTGGTTGCAGTCAGTGCATAATGTAAATCACATGACTGCAGATATACTTTGAATTTGAGAACTTTCAATGCAGATAGAATTTCTTTCAAGATTTCCTGTTAAAAAAGAGAAGGAGTAAATGAAACTGTTTATTGTAATCCAGAAT